TTATAATATCTCTTTATATTTGAAAACATTCTTTGGAATATTTACGCTGGTCACAATATTTTGAATCATGGATTATCATAAGAAAGACTTTGTAGTTTATCTGCTTATATATTTCATGGTATTTATACATTTCTTACACATACTTTGTCTTTACCTTCAGTAAATGATGCACTTGGCTATGTTTGCAGGAGGGATGAGTGTACTGTAGTCTGTCCATATTCGTTCACTCAGTTCCCCTTGAAAACAGCATCAAGCTTGGCAGCTGACCAAGGTGGTCAAGGGTGGAACAAGACCTACAGGCTTCACAGGAGCTGACCCTGTCAGCCTGAAAATAGTTGGTACTTTATTCTTTCAAGCTGAGCCTCACACTTGAAGACAGATCTATAGGAAGGACTGTATATGATCTAGGTTTTAGAAGAAATTGCTTGGGAGCTTTTACAAACTTTTGAATCACGGAAATGTTAGGTTGTAAACTTGTGTTTCCCTGTATGAATGTGTGTTTATGTATACACACACATGCATGTATACATACTTACACACATATGTATCTGTATTTGTATATATATATATATATATATATCATGCACACTGTCCTAATTTATTACAACTAATAAGCACTCCAGGGTCTGCTTATGGCATGTGGTTAAGGGAGCTGGATCTTATGTGATTAACTGTGTCTGAGTCCTGGACCCAGCGACTTGAAAAGCAGGCCAGGCACACGTGCATGTGTGCCCCAAATCCTGAGAGGAGGGAGAAACAGGGAGAAGGAATCGCAGCATGACTGTTGCCCTTTTTGCCTCTCCCTGAGTTTCTGCTTAGTGCGTGCACCATCTGGTGAATTTTAAAAAAAGTCCAAAATAGTATTATTGAGGCTCATCGCTTTGTGTAGTGGGACTTAAAATGATGACGTGCAATTAGCTCTGATTTGGTTTACTGCTCTTCTTCAGGAGGCTTTTGCATCCCTGTACTCTGGACACAAGGGCAGTAGAGCCCACCTCTGCCTCCACACTCCATACCACTTCCTGCTGGTGTGCCGCCATATTTCCTAGTGGGTCTCAGCCGTGGTGTCCAGTCACTCTCACTGGCTCTTCAGCACCTTTCTTTGGCATTGTCTTCCTGTGTTCATTGTCTTCATGATAGCATTTGACTCTATTCATTTACTATTAAGTAACTTACTAAATTCTGGCATGTGTTTAATAATTTTGGCCATCCAAGCCAGTTTAATGATATCCTGGAGCTTCCTGATGTACGTAGCTTCTTCCATAGATTTGACGGTAGATTAAATAAGAGTTCCGGTAGTGTTCAGGTCCTGTTAGACAGCCCATATTTGAATGACAAGGAAGGACGTCCAGCTTCTGAGCATAAAGTTTCGGCTTTTATTTCCTGAACCCAAGCAAATGCACTTGACAGAGGCAGACCAGTATTGCCTGACTCATTCAACAGTTGTTTTTCCTTAATTCAAAGGACTTTATAAATGTGTATCAGCAAAGCGTCATAGTTTTGAATTATAAAAATTATCTCTGCCTTACTTATTATCAACATCCAGCAGTTTCATAAAAGCCATTCAAGGCAGAAAAGGAGCTCCAGGCTAAATTGTGGGAGAATCAGTTATCTCCCCACACAGTAATGCAACAAACCTGAGGAAGGGGCTCATTTTTTTCTAAAGAGTCTATTAAATTTATGCTTTTGCTCAATTTAACCATATCCGTAATCTTTTTTCATTACCACTGTATCACATGATACTGTTTTACATCCCAATTTTTAACTTAGTATTTTCTGATTTTTTAAATAACGGTGGCAATTATACTAATAAATGGTATTAATATATCACTAATGCTATGTATATACAATGATTTCTAAAACATAACCTGATTTTTTTTTTCTTAAAGAATCATTTATTTAGGGGCCATCATATGGCATATGGTTACATCACTGGACTCCCATGTAGTCAACAGTGGTTTGAGTCCTGGTCGGACCCAGTGGCTTAAAATTCATGTCAGGCGTGTGTGCATGTTTGCCCAAAATCCTGACAGGAGACTGAAGAAGAGACTGTGGCGTGGCCATCCCTTCCTCCCCGGGGGCGACTTCTCACTTTCTGTCTGTCTCATTGGGGAGCGCACGCTCCCTACAGCAAAAATCTCTCTCTCTAAAAAAGGAATCATTTATTTATTTTACTTTATTTGGCATTATTTTTAACTTTGACTAGAGAGAGACAGAGAGAAAGTGAGAAAGCAAGCTGCCAGGTCAGGGACTCGAGCCACGGTCAGTCATGTGGGAGTCCAGTGCCCCAAGCACCGTGCCACCTGCCAGCCCTACAGAAGCTGATGTCTAAACACAACTTAAATTTATTTTTCTACCTGAAAACTGCATCATAAAAAAGTGTTTATTTTTAAATAATTTCCAGTGAAATTTGTACTCAGCAGCCTAATGTTTAAGTGAAACATGCAGAAACCCACAAACAGGTTGGCATATAACTAACAATAGAAGTATCAGGGTCATTCCAGGAAGATAAAGACCTGTTTTACCTATTTGTTATATCCTTTACTGCTTTTGAGATAAATTGACTGTTGTGTTTATACTTCTTTTTGATATCCCTTGAGCTCACAGGAGGTAGTATCTGAGATGTGAGGGAAGAAAAATCACTTTCTAAATGATATGTTAAACTCTTTTGTTTAGGGCCAGCCAGTGGTATGGTAGTTGAGGTGGCTGATCCCAAGTAGCCCACTGTGTGCTCAGAATCTTGGACTTGGTAGCTTGAAAAACCTGCTGGGTGCATGTGTATGTGTGTCCCAAATCCCAGAAGGAGAACTGGAGAAGGGACTGTGGCATGATCATCCCCCATGTGGGGGATGCTTTCTTGCTCTTTCTCTCTCCGTGTCTCTCTCTGGTGAGCACATGTGCCCTCCAGCAAGTTTTTCTTAAAATTCTCTTTGATTTTGTTAACATAAGGAAAAAGCATAGCTTACTGGTCTTCACACTTTTTTCCGATATCCTACTGAAATCAGTCAAATTCAACCAAGTATGTACAGTTTTAATAAAAACTAGCCTAAGCTTACAAAATAGACATTAACCAGCAACTACTTCTGAGAGAGCGTCTGCTTTCAAGAACCAGAAATGCAGGATCATGAGAAATGTGCAAATTCCGGGAAGAAATATGAAATGTATGCCTCAACAATGACTACTTTGCATAATTGGCTCCATCAGTGAATCTATCATTTAGCTTTCAATTTGTCATAATTGTGCATTTATGGTAATATGCTTCAATGACTTTAAAGTGAAATGTAAATTACTATTGTAACACAATAAAGAATATCTATGTTGCAGTTAAATCACTTAAAGAATTCTTTGTATATTAAGCTGTCTCTCGGGGGCCAGCAGGTGGCATGGTGGTTAAGATGCTGGACTCCCTCATGGTTGATCATAGTTCGAGTCCTAGACCTAGTGGTGTGAAAAATCACACCAGGCATGTGTGTGTGCCCAAAATTTCAGGACGAGAATGGAGGAGAAGGGATAACAGTATGGCCGTCCCTGCTTAGGGGTAATTTCTCACTTTCCTTCACTGTCTCTATCTGTCTCTGGCTAGTACACAAGTCCTATGGTAAACCTTAAAAAAAATTATATATATATATATATATATATATATATACACACACACACACACACACCCAATATCTACATTAAATGAAGAATGTATAAAAATTAAAATGCTTCCTCATTTGCATTTTTCTTAAAATGATTTAATGTACATACATTGTCACTTCCAATTAAGTAACTTTAATAAGTCACATCTTAATATTTATTTTCAACATATGATGGGCTCTCCACTTTTAAAATGTCATGATATGCTGTCCTTACAGTTCTAGTGATGATTATATAATATTTTTTGCTGCTTAGGATCAACAATTTCAAATGATCCCTTGTAGTTAAATAAGACACTTATTCTTATTTTACTTCAAGTGCAATTTTAGTTCCAGAAAAGGCAGTGCTGTCTTGAAAGCTTGAATAATAGTTTCTTCTTCTCTAACTCCAGGAAGGTCACTTAGAAACAAATACTTGAGGTTTCTGCAAATAAAGAGAAAAATCACTTCAATTTGGCTTTCACTTTTATACCATTAAACTTACTTTATGGACTTTTAGGAAAAATTACATACAGAATGTATTAATATCACCCTATACCTCAAAATGACTTTTAGGGCAGTAGTCTTAGAGTACTATTTTAAATGAAATTCATGTTAAAAAATAAGCCAGACTTTGGAAATTATTGTCATTCTTAATTATAATTCTGCATATCTATATCCCTAAATGTTACATGAGATAATTATATATTAAATATGAGTATATGTATATATATACATAAAGACACAAGTTAGTGGGTCATCAAAAAGTCATGACATATTTTCTAAGCAAAAATGCATCGTGACTTTTCCAATACATGTCTGTCTGTGTACACACACACACACACACACCCCGGGTGGCATAGATCCCCTTTGCATGTAAAATGTGAATCTTAACCTAAAAAGGGGAAAAAAATTGGGACAGTTCCAAATTTTAAAGGTACTCAAGTTATAAAGTAACAGCTCTTAGTTACTAAGAGATGGTTTGGTACTTTTGTTCTTAATGTTTAAAACTTCTCAAACTTCCTATAATATTTAAGTTATTGGAAGATCCATTACAAATGAAGGCAGAAGTACATTATCACTAGACTCAGAATTTGAATGACAGGATCCCTAAAACTGGGATTTGATTAAACCAACTTACATTCGTTCCCTGTCATTCTGATAAAACTCAGAACCCTGCAATTTTAGAATTAGACAATGCTTGCTAGTATCATGTTTCTTGCATTTGGGACTGGGTGACTTGCTTCAGGCCATGGCATGAATCTGACTGGTAGCACAAGGGGAAGTAGAAAAGTTTTCCTATCCAATGGAAGCATGCTTTTGAATTTTGTGTCAGGTAGTGTTCTAGACTCCAGAGACACAAATGTGACTATGTCACGGCCTTTTCCCTTCAAGCAACTTAATTACAGAATTCAGTGCTAAGAGGTATATATCAAATACCATAAAACACGGAGAAATTACTTTAAAAAATATAGAAGAAGCCTAATAACACTGGTGACAGGCACCATGGGAAGTGCTTTATGTATATTTAATTTTTAAAACCATCCCCCCCTAAAAAATACAATAAAACCTACTGTAGTCATGTTGAAAATTTTAACTGTTTTCAATTATTATAGGTGAAAGTGAAGTTATTTTCTTAAATTATATTTTTCAGAACTAAAAATAAAAAAAGAAGACACCTTTCTTCAACTGTTGTAAGTTCTGATTATTTTCCTTAATATCTTTATCAAGTTTCCACTTAGGCTTTGACCACCTACCTTAAGTGACACAAAGCAATGATGCCTTTGTCCGTAATGTTTCCACAGGAAATTATTTCCATTTCCAATATGCTTTTTTGTAAATTTTCAAGTTGACTAAGCCGCTGCAAACAGTCATCCTGGATATAATGACACTTGCATAGCCTTATTTTTTCAACATACTCAAGGCCCTCTAGTGGAAAAAGGTGGAAATAAAAAATATGCTTTATCATAAAATGTCACCTGTCCTGGATTCCCCAGGACTGTCCTGGTTTTTGGGCTGAAAGCCCTATATCCTAGGAAACCCCTCAGTCCCACAAAAGCCAGGGCGACTGCTCAGCCTACTAACCACAAGAGGTATTCACTATACAGGTTGTGCTCACGGTCAGAGCCACTCTGCAGTTAGACCCATACACTGAAGGAAAGAAATACTCACACAAGCAGAAGCCATGTGAATATCATTATTTTTACATTATTGAGAGTTTCTCAGTGACAGAAGTTTGACAAAGACAATTTGACAAAAAAGACCTTGAATTTTAAGTCAATAAGCCATAGAAAGAAGGCATGTAGAAACAAGCTTAGTGAGAGGAGGAAGAAGAGAATGGTGTTTGTAACCTTAATTTAATTTGAAAGTAAATACCAAACACAGGAAGAAACAAACACGCACCGAAATGGGCAAAAGGACAGAACTATGACTATAACGGTGAGTCAACCGCCACGAAATGGTCATTGCAAATCACCCACATTTCCTATAAGCAGAATGACAGGCTAGTTACCCATGTGATCAAATCCAATGCCCATGATGCAAGAGTCGGTGGCATCGATCGCCTGAATCTTGTATTTGTCCAGAGGGCCTGTTGGGAGGTGGTTGTAGTCCTTCTGCCACCGCTCCTGGCCATGGTAGCGCACCATGGCCCCGCAGCGCAGCAGCCACTCGGAGGCTGCCCTGTCAGGGCCGACATCTCTGATGCGTTCATGATCCACTCTGTTGGCAAGGGAACAACAGCTTCATACCATAATCACAAGCTTCTTAACTATAATCACTAACATAAATATAGAACGGCAACAAACTTTCATTTCAAATGACTGAGAGGAGGTAAATGTTAGTGAGACCGAGTAACAAAACAAGCGAAATGTACTGTAGCACTACCTGCTAACCTTCTTGCTTTTGTTTCCAAGTGAACTGTGTCAAGGCACATTATTCTTTTTAAATTATTTATTAAATTTTATTTATTATTATTATTTAATTCACCAGAAAGAGACAGAGAAGAAAGTTAAGAAAGCAAGCCACCAGGTCCGGGATACAAACCATGGTCGGCCATGAGTGAGTCCAATTCCTTAATCACCATGCCACCTGCTAGCCTGGCATAATATTTTTATGAGTTTATCAGGCGGACATGAATCTCCACTGAGCACAGTGCCTGACACCAGTGATATTCAGTAACTATTTATTAAATGCATGACTACACTTGGTTAGCATTTTTATTAACACTGAAAGATTAAACAGGAGATAATTTTGAAGCCATGTTCAAATTAATCTCATTAAATGACATTTGTTAATTTTTGCATGTGCCTTTTACTCTAGGGCACCATCATTATGCTGTGTTAAGCAATGAGGATAGTTTCACCAGTTTCAAAATGATATTTCTAAGCATACTTCACACTACATTTTTAAAAACTTTTCCCTAGATAGTAGTCAAAGACTAATTATAGTCCTTAAGAAAGAACAGTATAAAATATTTTAAATTTACTAAGTTTTTCTGGCTAAAAAAAGTAATAAATGTTCATTTTAGAAAACTAGAAAGGCATTGAAAGGACAAACAAGAAAAATCACTGAAACACTGCAACCCAGACAGTGAATATTTTATAATCTATTCTTCCGGGCTTTTCCTCTACATTGTATGTATGTTTTGTGTATTTGGAAGCAAAATTAGGATCATATTGCACATACGGTCAAAAAAAATTTTGAGGGGCCAACAGATGGTATAGTGGTTACGTCACTGAACTCCCACATGGCCAACTGTGGTTCAAATCCTAGACATGGTGGCTTGAAAATCACACCAGATGTGTGTGCCCAAGATCCTGGGAGGAGAATGAATGAGAAGGGATTTTGGTGTGGCCACCCCCCCTCCCCGTGGGGAGTGGTTTCTCACTTTCCCTCTCATTGTCTTTGTCTCCCCCCCCCACCAAGTCTAACTGCCCTAAGGCAAAAACCTCTTTAAGAAAAATTGGAATTCGAGAAATAGCCAAACCAGCTACTGACATTTCATCTGTCAAATCTCCACATTGTAACACTTCAGGGTAACTTACTTATTAAACACTGCATTCAACCAGCCCCAGAAGTATCTGGAGTCACATGACCATGGGAGTTTCTTTAAGCCGCATAACTGCCAGGAAATTTTTCCAAACAGCATCATTTGATCTAGACACACAAAACAGTACTGACATCAGATCATCTGCTGGCGATCAGTCTCACACTTAGCAACTTGCTCCACAACCTCAGAGTTAATGTTCTTGTGCTGATAAAGCTCGTGACTCACTTGCCACTCAACAGTTATTGAACAAGCCGCTCCTGTCTCTGGCTGTTTTTGTTTGTTTGTTTTGCTGCAGAAACTGAGAGGTTGGACTGGATGGTATCTAAAGTTCCTTCCAGCGTTAAGTTTCATTGTTCGAACCTCAACTGGAGTCTCTGCAGTGCCACCTGGTGTCCATTCAGGCAGTGTGACTACACATTTGTTAAGCTCCACTCCTGGTTCACATTTCTAGTATCAAAATCACAAACTAGGTGCCGACTCTGTGGTTCAAGTCCTGAACCTGGTGGCTTGAAAATCACACCAGGCACGTGTGTGTGCATGCTCAAGATCCCAGGAGGAGAATGGAGCAGAAGGGATGTCAGTGTGGCCATTCTCCCTTGAGGGGTGATTTCTCACTTTCTCCCTCTCCCTTTCTCACTCTCTCTCTCTCTCCAGTGAGTGCACACATTCTACAGCAAAAACTAAAAACTAAATAAAAAAATAATAAGTACAAAGACAAACTCTTAATCACTCAGGTAAAGATATGTACATGTTTACATGCAGGGAGGGAGAGAAGACGTGAAACAGACCTACCAATGACACAGCTGCAAGTGGTGTCATGAGAGCAGCACCAGAACTGCAGAAGGGCAGCCAGGAAAGACTGGACAAGTAACTTCACCTCTCTGACTCTGGGTTTTCTCATTTAGAAAATGAAATGACTTGCTCAGATGAGTTCCAGCTGTAAAAATCTATAAACTGAGTTGAAGATGTGAGTTTTGGACTAGTTCTCAATCTGATTTATCTCAAGTTTCCGCAGTACTTTAAAGAATTTTTTGAAAATCACACCAGGCACGTGTGTGTGCATGCTCAAGATCCCAGGAGGAGAATGGAGCAGAAGGGATGTCAGTGTGGCCATTCTCCCTTGAGGGGTGATTTCTCACTTTCTCCCTCTCCCTTTCTCACTCTCTCTCTCTCTCCAGTGAGTGCACACATTCTACAGCAAAAACTAAAAACTAAATAAAAAAATAATAAGTACAAAGACAAACTCTTAATCACTCAGGTAAAGATATGTACATGTTTACATGCAGGGAGGGAGAGAAGACGTGAAACAGACCTACCAATGACACAGCTGCAAGTGGTGTCATGAGAGCAGCACCAGAACTGCAGAAGGGCAGCCAGGAAAGACTGGACAAGTAACTTCACCTCTCTGACTCTGGGTTTTCTCATTTAGAAAATGAAATGACTTGCTCAGATGAGTTCCAGCTGTAAAAATCTATAAACTGAGTTGAAGATGTGAGTTTTGGACTAGTTCTCAATCTGATTTATCTCAAGTTTCCGCAGTACTTTAAAGAATTTTAAAAGATGACAAAACCCGATAAATGCCTCAAAGGTGTTAAAGTAAGGACGGAGAGAATTTTTAACAGACAGCAGTTCTAGGCAAAGTTTTAAAGAGGATTACAGAGGCAGGAACATTTAAGGCATGCTGCAGCTGAGTTTATCAGCATGGGGGCACCGTGAGAAGAGAAACAACCCACAGTCAGGTCGTGAAGGGACTTGCATGCTCAGCCAGGGAGCCGGACGGTATGCTGCAGGCAGCTGGGAGTTCCCGAAGTTTTAGAACAGAGCGCTGGCATTGCTAGAGTTGTGCTTCATGAAATTTACTCAGCAGCAGCAAGATTGAGGTCAGCCAACAAGGGCAGAAACAGCCAAGCATGGTTTCCACTCCACGTGACTCAGTCGGTCAGATGTGGGGATGACATACACTGTATCTACCCTAGGAAGGACCCTCTGTACACGGCAAAGCGGTCCAGTGATCAAACGTCAACTTTTTAAAAGTGGGAATAAAAGATGTAGGGACAAGGACTAGAGGAGAGGATGATGGCACTAATTAAAAGTTCCAGGCCACTGATAGGATGGTGATGCCATTAACAGAAATCAACGTCAGGAAAACAGGGTCATGGATGCAGTGTTTTCCTCCTCCTTTTGGCTTTTCATATTCTAATATGAAGTGTTGGCAGGACTTCTAAGGGGAGATGACTAACAAATCACGTTAGAGGAGAAAGGAACTTAGACCGACGGGACCAAACTGCGTTTAGAGATGGGGAAACTGAAGCCCTGATTAAGTAACTTGCTGACACCCTGAATCCTTTCTGGAACAAGGCGGGGGACTAATAAATGAGCATGTGTAGAGGCACTTGCTCAATGATTCATGGCTAATTGGTGGCAGTGCTGACACTTGAATCCAGCTCTCTCCCTACCAGTCCAGGCCTCTCCGCTCAATCAATAGACAGTTCTAAAACTCAAGAGGAAGGAGGACAAAATGCCTGACGGAACCACCGGAGAGTTGTGCAAGTGAATGAGGATGTTGAACAGAGAGAAATATGGCCCAGGGACAGAATTCTACGATCATCTACCACCCTTTTTGTCCCTTTTCTACCCTCATATTATCTTACTGTGAGCCTCTCCTCCTGTTACCGCCTTTCATGTTCTCAACCCTTTCCAGCTTGTTCAAATTTTCCCTACCTGTGTCCCCCTCTGATAACTCCACTGGTTGCCAACCTTATTTACAAATCTAGACTTTCCCAGCTTTTTATTTTTTTGCTACAGGACACATGTACTCACCAGAGAGAGAAGAGAAAGCACCTCCCAGCCCACCTCATGGAAAATAGTCCTGCTGCAGCCCCTTCTCCTAGCTCCCTCCTTCTGGGATTGTGGGCTAGCACGCAACACACTCCAGCATGTCTCTCAAGCTGTTTGGTCTGGTCGGCCATGTGGGGTTTGGCTGCCTTCATCACCAGGTCACAGAGCCGGCTTACTTACCCAGCTTTTTCTTTTTAAGAATTATTTAATTTTATTAATAATAATTATTATTTTTAGAGAGTTTTTTTAATGCAAGATGTGTGTGCTCACTGGAAAGACAGAGACAGAACAAGAGAAATCCCCCCCCCCCAGGTGGGATGGCCATGTTGCAATCCCATCTCCTCTATTCTCTCTGAATCTTGGGCAGTCATGTACACGTGCCCAGTGTGAGTTTTAAGTCACCAGGTCTGGGAGTTGAACCACGGTCAACTATATGAGAGTCCAGTGACATAAATATTATGCCATTTGCTGGCCCCTGTTATTATTATCATTATTAATTTGCTATAGGGCACATGCTCTTATCAGAGAGAAACAAAGAGAGAGAGAGAGAAGGTAAGTAAGAAAGCAAGCCACCAAGTCCAGGACTTGAACCATAGTTGGCCATGAGGTAGTCCAGCACCTTAACCACCATACAAGCTTCTGGGCCTCCGCTTCTACTCCAGTTGTTGCCTATATTACCCTCACCATCACCAATCCTGTCTGTGGAAACCTTAGTCAATACCAAGGCCTTATTCAAATGCCATGTCCATCCACTCATTCATCCATTCAGTCAATAAATGTTTACTGAACATCAACTCTACTTAGTGCAAATAAACAACAGTAGACAAAACAAAGCAAAGAGCAAAACAAAACAAAGAGAAAAAGACATGGCTCCTGTCTCAATATGATACATAGTCTAAGATGAAGACAGAAGACATACAGCCAGATAAGTAACATCCAACATGGTATTAACAGAAGTGTGAACATGTGCCACGACAGTCTAGAGAAGGGAGTGAAGAGAAGGTGTCATTGTAGAGTTGTCATTTGAGATGACCCTTAAACAATGATTAACAGTTTCTAGTTGGGAACCAGCAGTTAGCGTAATGTCTATGTCGCTGGACTCCCACGTAATCGACCGCGGTTCGCGTCCTGGACGCGGTGGCTTAAAACTCACGCCGGGCGTGTGTGTGTGTGTGGGTGTGTGTGTGTGTGTGCCCGAGAGGAGAATGGAGGAGAAGGGATTGCGTCGTGACCATCCCCCTGGGGGGTGATTTCTTGCTTTCTGTCTCTCTCTGTCTGTCTGACGAGCACACGCGCCCTATAGCAAAAACCTCTCAAAACAAAAACAAAAACAAAAAACAGTTTCTAGTTAAGGGGGCAGGCGGGTGACATGGTAGTTAAGGCGCTGGACTTCCACATGGCTGGCTGTGGTTTGAGTCCTGAACCTGGCAGCTTACTTTCTCACTTTCCCTTTCCCTCTCTCTCACTCTGGTCAAATTAAAAAAAAAAAAAAAAAAACAAAAAAAAAAAAAAA